TGTTAGCATTGATCCTAATTGCAATTAGTAAAGTTAGCCTATACTTACTAATGGTGGTGGGTAGCCTTTTGGTGAGATTAATGGCTAGAAAAGGCTATGAATCTTTAGTTTGATTTTTATAGATGTGTTCTGAAGTTTATGGTGGAATGATGAGGGGTTTAGGAGGGTATAGTAGAATAAACGATAAGACTAGTCTAGTTTGGGATAGTTGAGAAGTTCACTTTAGGGAGTGACCTTTATATGGGATAAATGATTGTAAATGATGCTGGAAGGTTAGATTAGGATGTGAACTTTTTATCTAAAGTTGATGGTATAGTTTGGTGAAGTTTAAAAGGATGTTAAAGTGTAGGGAATAAGACTAGGCCTAAGTATTTCATATTTTGGCTAAAGATTATATGAAAGTGATTATAAGGATTTTATGATTTTGATTGTGGGTCTATTTATCTTAGGGGATGCATATGAAGTGGAGGAGGAGTAATTGTGAAAAGTTTAATACATGTATTTGAGATAATTTGTAAGTAATATAAAATAAAGAAGGATAACTAATTAATCTCATCAAAGAAAATGCACACACTTGACGTCACCGTGCACCAAGCAAATGAAGAGAACTTTTTCATAAAATTATTTCATTCAAAAGCTAAAAATTCTAATTCATATCATCCCATATTTATAGGTATTACAAGATAAATATTGGAAAATAAAATAGAGGAAAGAATGAAGGGTGGACATTAAAAAAGAGTTTCACCAACTCATTCCACTTACCAATTTCGACTAATTATCTCATCCATGCCTAACTATTTTGTGCTTGATCATACAAGCTTATAGATAATAAATAAAATTTAAATTTTATTTAAAATTATGGCACTACAGGAAAATAGCTCATTGCCAACGAAATTTTTGACAGATTTTTTGGCGGATTATTTATAAATATTTTCTGACAAATTTTCAAGGCAAAATTTTCTGGCGGGATTTTTGATTTTATTCTTTTGTTTGGGGGGGGTGCGAGTTTCGATTCCTAGGGCGGGGCTACAGGCGTTGCGGGAGCAGGCTCACTTGGGCGGGCCGCTGGGAGTGGCTTGCGTGTAGCGAGCTAGCCTGCACGGGTTGCGAACCTGGACCGTGGGAGCGGGCTCACTTGGGTGCCTGCTGGCGACTATGCGTGGGTTGAGGGTTGCGGACCCCCGGGAGTGGAGCGAGAGTTGGAGCGGCTGGGCGTAGGTTGCGAACCTGTGGGAGCAGCTTAAACTGGGCGCTCGGGATGGGAATTTGTTTGTTTACTGTTTTATTTATTCTGACAGAATTCTTTTCCGACGCTCGATTTACCGTCGAACACGTCTTCGTCGGAAATCCATAAAAAAATTTTGAAATCGGCCGGAAACTAGAAAATTTTTCGCCAAAAATTCCTCTGGAAATACACAACTTTCATGTAGTGTGGGCTCATTATTGGGTTCTTTATTGAGCTCAACTAATTAGACATTTTCTTTGATCCTTTTGTTGGGCTTTGGTCTTATCTCTTGTAATGGGGCTTTTAAATTAATTATATCCATCCACATAATGTGTCTTTCATGCCTTACTTGAAACAGTTGGATTCTCTCTAGGTGGTTGAGCCCAATCCTTTGCTCTAAGAGGGTTGGGCTGCTACTGCTCAGCAGGGCTTGCCTTGACAGTAGGCGTTACTTTAGGGCGCTACTCATAAGAAAGGATTTCACCCATATGATGATCCCTTTCGATGAGGGGACATCAAGGGCATCAAACTCAGAGTCTCTGGCGGATTCAAGGCCAAAGAATTTCCTGCTACTGCAATATAATATTCTTCTCTACTTGGTGATAAATAAATCATATGTGCCTCTTTTGATCTCTCTGATAATTCATAAAATAGACTCTCTAGAGATACACAATAACCAACCTTTGAATGAATAACTAATGATCAGATAAATCAAAAGGTAAGAATATGGTCTAGTTTATGTTTATCAGATATTATATATATATATATATATATATATAATTTTCACTTAAAACTTTCTTTGTATTTTTCTTTCCAAAAAGAAGAAATAGCTTCTTAGATTAGCTTCAATACTTTTCTTGCTCAACTAGTGTCTTTTTTCTTATGGACTGCTAACCGCAACCCTCCTGACCCTTTTTTGTTTAGTGATTGCTGGGATGATGCAAGCCAACATTTGGTGGAACATGTTGATTCTCTCACTTTTTTTGAAGTAGTTATAAGTGAATTGAGGCCACATGTCTCAGTAAGTTGGCGAAGGAAGATTATAACTACCTAATACTATTACATCTTCAATCCTCCACACTCGACGTAATTCCTTTCGTTCCAGATCATTTGCATCAGAAATGAAAGTCCCAGAGCCATTCAAAGCTTCAAGCTTCCTCAGCTTGAGAGCGCTAGATATGAGTTCTAAGGCGCCCCTATATGTAGATCCAAACGAGAAGACGCAAAGATGCATCATCTTATCATATGTTCTGGCTTTTTGCATCTTCCTCTTGTCTTCGGTAATTATATCAAACGAAGTCATTGATCTAGTTATCTTTCTATCTATCCTCTTTACATCGCTTACCTAGTAAGAATGTACAATCCAATCTTAGCATAGGGAAGGAAAAAGCTCCAATTAATAGTGAAAGAGCTGAAAGCCCAAAAAAATTCTTTAAAAATCATGTGAATCACTTGATTATATTTTATATATATTTCCAAGCATAACATAAGATATGGCCTCCATAAATAAGTTAACTAAATGTTACAATTCCTGATCTCACATGACAAAATTTCCTTGATTTTCTTTTTCTTTATATCCAAGGCTTTCATATTGTACACCCTCATGTTGAACTTTACTTCTATTGACCTAATGATTTCTCTTGGCTTGAAATCAACTTATTGCTTAATCAAAGGTAGATTATGGAATTAATGAATTTGGCACATGTTACCATCAAAGGATTTATACATGCATGCTTCTCCAAGCATCTCCCAAATGCTTGCTAGAACTTGCATGTAAATGCCACAAGCATAATATGGATGGATTTTCATGTTACACACAAGTGATATTGCTCGTTTGATTATTTGATGAAAAAAATTTAAAACTCAACATTATTTCCAATAGACCAAACGCACAACACAAATTGGAGCTCCTTCTAACTCGCAAAATACATTCCTTTAACTAACTCACCTAGGATATATAACTCTAACATCATTGGGTTTTTATCATATAGCTCGTCAAATATAATTTCTTCATCACACTCTTTCGTTGTAAGGTATATAATAGCATAGTCATTTTTAGAGATCATTTGTCCCCATATTAGATTATGAAATAAGCTCTAATAAGATTATGTCACTACAGGAAATTCAGCTATTACCGGCGGCCTAGACTGGCGGTTGTCTAGCCGCCGGTACTAACGGAAGTTTAGCCGGCGGTTTGGCCGCCGATTAATACCGGCGGCCTAACCGTCGGTTAGGCAAGCATATGCCGCCGGAACTAGCGGCGGTTTGTTTAAGAACCACCAGTATATATTTTCAGGTAAACCGCCAATAATGACTGAATTTTCTAGCTGTAGTGTGTCCTTCACTATGGGCATATATATTTGTTCCCCCAAAAGATGAATTAGATTCCTAACCATTATCATTAGATTCACCACACTACTCATTATTTCATATCATTCATCTACAAGTGGTAGATGAGGCTAAGAATATTCTTATGGATTAAACAATCTATTGGAAGATTGTGATGATGGCCCTATTACATTTGTGACAACATTTATTGAAGATAACCTATTGAATTAAACTGAACAATTTTGGACTTCTAAGGAATTAATTTACTTGCTAGAGCAAAGTGAAAGTTAACTAAAGCAACCGATGATGATAAATGTTTACTAATTTTTCCCCTAAATATGCGCATCAAATAGTTTGGGTTTTACATATTACAAATAACAACATAGTTTACAATTATTATCTTAAAAAAATTAAAATAAATTTATTTTGTAGCAATTTTCCCCCAAAATAATCCATAATAAATTTATGAGCAATAATTCATATTTTTCATTATGAGAACAACACTTGTATTTTTTTTTTTAACACTTGTAAGTAAATGACAATTCAAGTATTTTTAAATATTAAAAAAATTGCTAACAATGTGATATTGCATATGTACGTATAATCTACTTTTTATAATAAAATTAATTAAAATATCCGGTTTAAATATTATCCTTTTTTTAAATATTGCCCATCACTCATATTGAACGAAATTACTACATGGGATGCAATTCGGAGGCCAATCAAGACGCGTCACATCATCAATACATTGGATAAGATCACTATATACTACTATGTATTGAGTGACGTGATAGCATGTAATAATTTCTCACATTTTCGAACTTTTATTTGGTCCGGTGAACGTACGTAGAGCTACGTTCGGCCGGCACTAAGATCGCAGGCACAAAACGAGAAATACCGAGCAATACCAACAATAACGAGAAATAACATTATGTGAAGACAAAATACCGAGTTAAACCGAGCAATCCCAAAAAAATACTGAGTTTTTCTAGGAAAAACTAAATATTTTTTGGGATTACTCGGTATTGCTCGGTATAACTCGATATTGATCTTCACAGAACGGTATTCCTCGTTATTATCAAATAATACATAGCAATACCTACCAAATACAAAGCAAAAATCGAGTAACAATCCTCTAACCAAATATAGAGCCACGTCCGATCAGAGGACGTAATAAAAGTTCCACATATTCAGCCCATTTACACCTTGTACAACCCTTACTTCGGTAAAGGTTACGGAGAGTGCGCAACTGATTAGTTTCCCAAAACGCACATTTTTTAAAGAACGTCCTAAGCACGAAGTCAACGGTCAGACAAATAGCAAACGGAAGATTTGTTTGACTTTTTCATCCATTCCTGGTTCGGTCAACACCCCCTCAATATATATATATATATACACACACAAAAGCCCTTCCGTTCACCCACTCACAGAGAAAAAAGAGAAAAAAGAGAAAAAATAAAAGAAAAATATGCCATCGTCCGCAGGCAGAAGTCTTCAAGGTCCAAGGCCTCACCCTCTCAAAGTTTCAAAGGACTCATGGAAGGCCGGCAGGCCGCCTGTTTTGATAGCCGGCGGCAGCGGCACTCGAGATTCTTCAGGCGGCAGCCGACAGTCCCCGATGATCGTTTACCTCCACTCTCCCAAGGTGATCCACGCAAAGCCCCAGGAGTTCATGAGCGTGGTGCAGAAGTTGACCGGAAAAGACGCCAACGAAGTCGATACTACTCCGGAGAGCGGCGGCGCATCTGGATTGGACTTGGAGAAGGAGATGGAGGGGAAGAGGGATTCGGTAGAAGAAGATCCTTTGCTTCTCACTTTAGGACAGAGTCCCTCTGCTTCGACTTGGATTTCCAGTTCTTCTTCGATGATCTCGCCTGGCTTGTTCTTATCTTCACCAAATTTGAATTCTTGCTTACAGGAGTTTGGTTCTTTGTTTTAAATGAGAGTTTTTTGGTTTCCTTCCGTTAATATGGATGCATGAGAGGAAGAGTTTTAGCCGATTTGTGTTATTGTAGCAAGTAAAACTTGCAGCTTTTACAAAGTGTATTAGCAACTCATGATTTAATTGCTGATAAGGTAATTGATTATAGTAGATGATGATTATGGATGATCTTAAATATGATTAACATGATGGCTAATAAGCTGATGAGGAGAAATTTTTTAAGGGAAGAAGGTAGTCTTTGATCTGAGATACGTTGAATTTGTTCAAGCTGCTGATCTCTGACTATCAATGGATGATGAGACGCCTACCACCTCTGATGATCTCTGCTTGTTGAGATTTGTTAAGAATAATTTTTTACTATTTTCTAAAGCCGTCTTCGGGTAAAAAAATTTGTGAACTAAAATTTTTTCAATAAAAAACTGTTTTAGAGAGTAGAAAGAAAGTCGCTCCAAATGAAATTTAATAACTTTTAACATGTAAGCAATGCTTTCCAAATAACAATTTGTCTGGAAGGGAAGGTTGGCTCGAGCACATTAATCTTTAAACTCTAACAAATTCATTTTTAAAAGGAAAAAATTTACATTTTGCCACTTTTTTTACTATTTGATTAGGTAAAAACCTTAGACTTTCCTTGCAATTAGTCTATTTCTTGACTAATTATTCTATGCGGATTCCGGACGGCGTCCGGTGACCACTGAAAATACACCACATTCCTTTTTTGTTGTGTACTAATGCTGTGTACCGATGTACCGGGGGGTTCATTGTGCCTGCAAATAGTTTCATGTTTTGAACTTTTTTAACTAACTCTACAGAGCTCTTGACAAGTGACTTGGATTCATGGAAAGGCTGGCTCAGTTCAAGCTGGTTCAACATTCATAAACTCCTTGGATCTAATTTAGGTTTACTTTCTTACTAGCTCGATCGGTACATTTAATTCAAATGAATATGAATATATAGTTGCCATTTATTCTTATTTAATCCAAAGTGTTTAGCATATGTTAAGCAAAAGTTAAGTAACTTTTTAGTATAAAATTTTTTACTTTTGTATTAGAAATCTTCTTTAAGAAACCGTAAAAAGCCATCCCTAACAAAGCATTAGACTCAATAAATTATAGCTATTGTGTTTGAATAATTTAGGCTTTGTTTGGGGCAGCTTTCCTACTGCTTTTTAAATAAGCTTTTTATTAACAAATTAAAATTTCTATACTAAAAAATTGTTTTAAGAAGCAGTAAGAAAGTCGTCCCAAATGAAGCCTTAGAGGTGGCTGAAAAAAGTGCTTGTTGGCTTTAATTAATGTTAAAAATAAATTAAAATTAACTAAAAACTAGCATACAATATTGCAAATATTTAATTAAAAAAAGAATAAGTGTGTAATATTTTTGCATTGAATTAATTGAATTCTATAATGAAAAAGAAGGCATAAAAAGTCGCCTTCGTGTTGCAGGGAACTCAAGCTCAGCTCGCCTCTCTCATGCCAGGCTTTAAATAAAGCTCTTGGCTCGATAAATTTGACTCATGAGCTTGATGATGAGAAAAGCTCGAGCTAACTCACGGGCTAGCCAACTTGACTCGCTTACATGGACCCTTTGACTCCACATGGCGTTTTCTGAGATGAATTGTGTCATGGCATCTTAGAGAGATACTATGATTTTTTTAATGGTTAATTGAAGTATTAAAAAGTTCATTAGCAAACAAAAATCTAATTAAGCTAAAATTAATCATGCCAAATTTGACTGATTAAGCTTTTAGCGTGGTATATAACTTAGAATCATTAGCAATATTGTCCTTTAGGAATTGTATTCATTGCTAGCAAATGAATAATGAGCCAATATATGGCAGTTTATATTGGCTTAATAATATTAAAATTTATGTTTGTCAATACCAACCCTTAAAATCAATTGGGACAAATAAGACTTATTTTTTAATTTTATTTGATTTATCATCGAAAAATTATTTTGATCGGGCATGAATCTCGAGGCAAAAATCATGTTGGAACTTCAAAAATTAATTGGAGACAATTTGAACTCCGATTTCAGCGAACTTAGAGTTGAACTGAACGTTTCGCGAATACAAACCCAACGACACCAAATTTAACCAAATCCAAGCTCAAATTGGTCCAAATCAAAGACCTGAAGCACATTTGGAAGGCTTAATCCATAATTTGAATTATCAAACAGGATCCAAATTTGGCATGCCTATAGTCAAATCGAGCAACTCAACGAGAAAAATCCAAAGAGCCCAAGATCATTGAATTCGATATCATTAGAGCCTTCGAATGTCTGATAAATGGTCCACGATCAAGAGATTCAACATCGGCCGTCCATTTAAACCACTCCCAATTCTTCCCTGATCTTCCTCCTATTTTTTGGTCATGCCACTCTCATAAAACTATAAATAGCACCTCATTTCTCTTAAGAGGGGATCCTAAGCAAGAAAAGAAGAAGAGAAGAGAAGGAAGAGAAGGAAGAAGCTCATCCTCGACCACCGCCGGACTTTCACATGGCAGCCTACCGACGTCTGAGTTCTGCCAGAATGTCATCTAACACCAGAGTTCTGCATATATAGACACTGACTGACGTAAGACTTCTACTTGACGCTAGACCTCTGATCGTCGCAGGATTTCTACCCGACGTCGGACTTCTGCCCGTCGCTGGACTTTCGCCGGATTTCTATCCGACGTTGGACTTATGTCCATCATTAGAATTCTATCTAACGTCATCCTTCCGACCTCTATTGCCATACAATGGTCTTTATGACCTCCGTCGTCCGCCGACTACAGTCTGCTACCTTCTTTCCGACCTCCATCGTCAAACAATGGTCTTTATGATTTCCGTCCCCCATTGAATATAGTTCTTCCGACCTCCGTTGCCCGACGACTACGGTTCTTCCGATTTACATTGCCCACCGATTATGGCCCTTTTGACCAAGCGAATACATCTATAGCGACTCTTTGTATTCCCAATATGTAACGTACTTCATATGATGTAAATAAAACCATGGCCTTCCCCTAAGGAAGGGTCTCATTTGTAATCAACTGCAAATACTAGTGGATTCATTCAAATTGGGCTAGGCCCTGTGGTTTTCCCCCCTTTTTTATTGGTTTTCCATGTAAAAATCTTGGTGTCTCCTATAAATGTTGCACCCTCTTTTCATCTCTGTGTGTTGAATCTTCGTACAAAGCTAAGTCACTAAACTTTATATTTCTCTACCACCGTAAATACTCCAGGACGCAACAAGATTAGTTTTAAAAAAATTAGGCGAGGCTAATCTCAATTATCTAAAATTTAATAAACGATTGAATTATTAATTCACATAATTATGCAATTATCATAAGTATACATAATTATTAATTCATATGTGAATATATATATATATTGATATGACTCTAGAAAAGTCATATGATATGTATGAAGAATATTGAGATAAAATTTGAATTGGAAACTGATGAAATTAAAATCATGATTATCTAACTTTAAAATTTGACAGGCAAATAGTTGAATTAGTCAAATCGAGCGGCTCGATGAGAGACGAGAAAAATTAGCCCAAGATCTCTCAATTCCGATAACATTAATGTACTTAAATGCTGAGAAAAATACTTTACGATCAAGAGAATCAATATGGATCATATGATGGATTTTTGGATTCTGATTTAATTTACCAAAATGCCTATTCCAAAAAGCCTATAAATAGAGCCACATTATCCACATGAGGGGGAGGAGAATAGAGAGAGAACTTGAGAGCTTTATTACATTTTTTAGTACTCGACACTGATGACCACCACCATTGATCACTTGGGGTGTCATAAATGATTTTTGGTTTGTGTTTAGTTCCAACCTGAAACTCACATGGCTTAAACTGACCCGACATAATTAGCTAAATTGATCACACACCTAGACAACAACACAACCCTTTTCTAACCAAACCCGACCCAACTCGGTGCGTTGACTTGGTTGGAGTATGATAAGTGACCAAGCGCAGGCAGTTAAGCGGGGTGAACGGGCAAGGGTTAACAGGTGAGCCCAAAGTGAGCACGAGCACCATGAGCCGCTGAGTGAGAGACAAGCACGAGCGTGAAAAGTGGGCGAGTGTGGCGAGTTTACAATGAAGATAGGGTGACCGTGTTGGATGATCATGATGGAAAGCAAAATTGGTTAGTTTTAGGTTGCTTTCGGGTTTACTCAATCCCGACCCAAAATTGTAATTGGGTCAGAATATGGAACCAGAACCCAACCACTTTTCTAAACAGGTTGACCTAGACCTGAAATTTTTAGGGTTAGGTTCAGATAAATTTTTTGGGTCATGTCAAATATTGACGCCCTTGTTATCGCCACCAACAATCACCATCCAATATCATCGTAGACGACCACCACCAACCATTGCTATTATCATCTTCAGATTTCTGACTAGATTTAACCTCGCTGTTGAGTATATATATATATGTTTATGAACACCTCCTTTCTATAACCCTATAGGAGAAATCAAGTCTTGCTATTGGGTGTTAATTGTTCATATGTGGACAAATGATTTCTATAACCCATCATAAGGAAAATCAAACATTTTACCTCATGATTTTGTTCTATTTTCAGGGTTTTCATGTTAAAAATACCTAGTCTTATAATTTGACTTGTGCGTGTTGAATTTTTAAACATCACTAAGACGCAAAATACAAAGTCTATTGACTCTAATTTTTTAGCATGTAACATATCTAGACATATGAATTAATACTCATGTATAATTATGATAATTTTATTCACACATGATTAATATGTGAGACTTCATTGTCATGTTACCTATGCTACAAGCTACAATATCTATGAAAACAACGAGAATTGATCTTATATAAGTTAAGAAGAGAAAGTTCATATCTCTTTCTATACAAGTGTAAAAAAATAATAATTTAATAAATATGGTAACAACTCGAGTCGACTCAAGTTCATTTAAGGCCAACCTAATGCACGAAGAAAGTAGGCAAGATTTCATCAAATTTTTAGGCATACCTATCTGAGTTAGATTAGAAATGGTAAGCATGGAATTGATTAATTTGATTTGATTCTTGGGTCATAATTTTTACTATCTACTCATTTGCTTAGAAAAAATGCCTGATTAATGGCGACAAACAT